GGTTTTACCATCACGCAAAAGCACTGCTTTTATTATCTACTAGGCATTTGGGACCTCTAATATTATTTTGGAATTCATCTAGTTCAGGATGGAATTTTCAGTGAAGCTATTTTGCTTGAAAATGGTGGTGATACTTGACAATGAACATACTTTACTTCTAAGATTTGAAGGCTGAAAAGCCTTTCTCCAGCTGCTAAGAGCAACTCCTCGCCTAACCACGAGATGGCACTGCGGGCGTGGTGCGCTGAGCCCAGGGGGCCCCTGCCAGGGGATGAAGAATTTGGAAGAGCTGTGACCCCCTAACCAGTCATGCATGTAGGCTGATTACCATCAAAGCAATGGTGGAAAAGAGACTAACAGGCGACTTGGGAAATAATCACCACATCTGTGGTTCCACAGGGCTCCAGCTCCAGGGCCACCCCACTCACGCACCAGGAGAGTGAAGCTCCCCCTGGACACCTGAGTGCCCGTGCCCACTCAAAGGTTGCACAGCGAAGATGCCACCTTCCCTGCAAGCTCAGCTCTCTCTGAAGCCCTCAAGTGTCCACAGCTCTTCATTGGACGACCCAAGACACGACTGTCATCTTTAATGCGTACGACGACAGTGACAAAGCTTCTAACAGATGAGGCCAAACCTGAGAGACTGAAGCACAGTCTCTTGGGGTGCAGCAGCGGGCGGGCCTGACAAACCCCACCCCCGAGCAGAACACGAGGACAGGAAAGGTGGGCCGGGAAAGACCTGAGTGCTGTCAGCAAGCTGACCCCGCTGGTATGGAGAAAGGTGATAGCCTCCAGAACACACTCTGTTTTCAAGTGGACAAGAAGAGTTTCCAAGGCAGCCGTACGTGGGACCATAAAACGAAAGTTCAATACATCCCAAAGGACTGAATCATCTAAGGTATATTCCCAGCCATGGTGGAGCGAGAAATCAGTAAAAGAAAATTACAACAGCGGTATGCAATAGAAACAGAGCTCAAGCCACTTACGCAATTTTAAATTTTTGTTTTCCATTAGTCACAAAGGGAAAAGGAAACAAGTGAACTTCACTTTAGTATTTTTTATTTAGCCATACACCCAAAATACTCATTTCAACATTAAGCAACATTAAAAATGAGCTATTTACATTCTTTTTTACCCAAGTCTTCAAAATCGCATTTTACAGTTTGCAGCACATCTCAGTTCGGGCCAGCCCTGTTCCAAGTCAACAGTGACGCACAGCCAGCGCCTGCCACGCCGGACCCCGCAGTTCTACACGGCAAACAGACATGTCAATGTGCTTTCACTACCTATCCTTTACCAAGTTAGTTTTTTCAAAGAAAAAATATCACACGGAGACAGAACTAGACTTTTGAATATTGAAGTCTATCTTTAAAAAAAAAAAAAAGACGCTAATCCACTAAGGGAGGCTGCGAACTTGTCTCCACACCCTTGCTCATTCACTCACCTACTTCGGGGGCAGGGGGGCACCCGTTCCCACCCTTGTTCTCAAATGGGTCCACACTCTCCACAAGGGCTGCCGCCTACTTCAGGGCCTTCCAGCACCACCTCTCTCTGCTTCCCTGCTCATGCCAGTAACACACAGGTCTCGCACCTGCTGGTGGCTTATCCCCTCTCCGCGTTCTGGAGTTCATGGGGTATCTTGTCACTCAGTTACGCTACTGATGTTATCCAAGCGCTTTTGGTTGCTATTTTCATGAAAAGTAAAAACAAAACCCATGAAACTGAAAACAAAGAAAACCCAAACTCCGCAAAATGCACTAGTTGTCACTGTTTTCCCAGAATCCGACTTCATAAAGCATACGCGTTACTGATGAAAATGAAGTTTCTAAGAGAGATACTATTTTCTGAATGCGCTTCCTTGGCCTTATATCTGACTGCAATGTGGAATAAAGGAGATGCAAAGAAATAATGCAGGATAATGAAGATTAAGGAACCAAGCAAACGCTCCAAACCCAGAATAAATAATCCAAACCCTGGAGGATAGGCAGATGGAAAAAGTGGATCCCAACCCAGACCAGCCACCAGGGACGACACCCAGATGAAGAACACAGCCTGGAACAAGCGAAATGGGGTGCACATCCTGGAGGCTCCCCAGAGACACATGAAGCAAACCCTGACCAGGCAACAGGAGCTATTATTAGAATTAACATCAGTGCAGATAACCCTACATTCTTACAAGTAAACAAAACGGTCACCTTGAGCATGATTTTGTAGAACAATGGCAACTCCAAAATCACCAAATCACAAAATTGCTACAAAAATCCCAAAACTGCCAAACAATGACAATCAAAATCAATGGCCTGTTCCAAAATCACCCTTCTGCCCTGCTTTGTGCTGCTCTAACAGAACACCTGACATGGAACAATTTATAAAGAACAGGAAGTTACTTCCTACAGTTTTGGAGGCCAGGAAGTCTAAGGTCCAAAGCCCACATCTGGCAAGGACATTCCCACTGGCCATCCCATGGCAGAGGTGGAGGCCAAGGGAGCAGAAGAGGGGGCCCAAACTCTCCAGCCACCACGCCTGCTCCCTTGATAACACTACTGATGTACTCAAGAGGGCGGCTTGAGCTCCTCTCAGGGGTCCCATCCCTCAACAGTGCTGCAGTGCGAACTCAAGTCCCCAACACACGATTCTGGGACACACTCATACCACAGCACCAGAAGACCCTGAGGAACACGCATGATCACAGTAGACTAAAGTCAGCAATTACTATAAAACCCAAAGGAGTAGAACCTTTTAAATACAAGACTCTCTAAATGTATTGAAATATAAAACCCAAGATATTTCCCAGGCACAGTGGTACATACATGCCATCCCAGCTACACAGAAAGCTGAGGCAGGAGTATTACACTTCCAGGTTGAGGCTAGCCTGGGCTACTTACCAAGACCTTGTTTCAAAACACAAAATAAAAAGAGATGGGGATATAGCTCAGGAGTGGAGTATCCCTGGTTTAATCCCCAGTACCACAAAAACAACTTTAGAGTAGTCTTTCTTATGAATTATACATAACAGATGTAAGTATTATACAGTACATTAACAGCACCAAAATATACAATGTGAAAGCTCTACATAAATGAAAATGAAATAACTATAACAGAATTTAAAATCACACTACTCTAGAGTTTATAACCAAAAAAATTAAATTTGCACAATGTAATTAAATTGATAAATATACATTCGCATCTGTCATGTGCAAATTGAATAAACTTTCATTTAAAACACCCACAGAACACATTTTAAAGATGTTAGGTCCCACCAGGCTGTAACCCCACCACTTGGGAGGCTGAGGCAGGAGGATCTCTGCGAGTTCAAGGCCAACCTGGGCTACAGAGCAAGACCCTGTTTCAAAACACTTCCCCCAAAATAAAATAAAATAAAAAATAAAGATGTTAGGTCCCAAAACCTCAATAAATTCTAAAACGCAAAAATTACATAAACTGTATTTTCTTTCCACAACCCTAAAATCCTGTAAGTACAAAAGAAAACATTTAAGACAAGGTCTTACTGTGAAGTTCAGGTTGGCCTTGAACTCTCTTATAAATGCAGGCTGGCCTCAAACTCACAGTGATCCTCCTGCCTCAACCTCCCAAGCAGTGCTGGGATTATAGGCAGTGTGTCACCAGGCCCAGCAGCAAAAAAAAAATTTTTTTAAAAACTAAACCACAGAAAAATTTTTAAACATTCTTAAATTGTTGAACTAAAATGTTAAAGAAAATGACCAACTACTTAGCATGGATAGTATACATCAAAATAGTTGGGTTGCTAACTATTTTGCTAACTAATACATTTTTTAACCTACAGGTAACTCAAAAGCCTTCAATGGTCACTTTCACATAAATGAAAAAATGCAATCACACTCAAAAGTGAGAGAAGAGATCTAAAGAAAATAACTATAAAATGAGAAATTATTATTTTAAATGACACAAAAAGAATCATAACTGATAAAACACTAGTTTGCTCATGGGAAAAAAGCTTTAACAAGACAAATCAAATAAAAAGTAAAAAATGGTGCACTAGGACAAAGTAAATGTCTCAAAAAGTGGCAAAATTAACTGGAAAGTTCTAAAATATTCTATTAAATAAAATTATTAAATTTCAACTAGATAAAAATTCTTCTAGAAGAATATAAACTACATACTTAAATCTAGTAAGTAATAAAATGAGAAATACATTTTAAAACAGAAGATCTTAAAGGTGCTTACATTTAAAAACAGGTAAGTTATGAAAGAAGCTGATTAATTATCAAGAAATCATTTCCAAACAGTTCTAAACTTGAAAGTTTTCCAAGCACCATCTTTCAGTCTTTCACGGAACAAACCACCCCCATGCAGTAACTGCTTAGTGCCCAGAAAAATGCACACAGCCATTCCATTTACTTTGTGGAGCTAGCAAAATCCCAATGTTACAATTTGTACAACAGCCCGAAAGATTTCTCTGCTCATGTGAAAATGTAAACGTCCACATTAAGACAAGCAGGCCAAATCCTGCAACACCAGCAGGCGGTCACGCTCAAGGACTCATGACTCCTAGGAGGGACAGTGCTGGACAGCGCAAGTGAAATATACTTTTTCTTTGATTTTATTCGTAAGTATTTCAGCATTATCTCCAGTTTTTCTTGATCAGGTTTACTTTCCATCCTACAGTCACTGAGAGTGGAACACAATTTTCAAAACCAATGCCGCCACGTTCTGAGCACCTGACAGGAAGGCTGGAAATGTCCCCACACAGGCTGGGCTGTTGCTGGCAAGGGGCCCTGGCTCTCCAGGACACCCACAAAGGACAGTGGCCTGTCTGTCTGCCAGGGATAGTAGTACTGCAGTGTGACAAAAGCATAAGCAGTTTACGATACACTGAGACTCCACTTTTAAAGCTGATATTTTGGTGAATTTCTTTAGCTATAAGTATGAGCACTAGTTCAAATTTTGAGAACAAAACGAGTCTATTATTAGTAAGTCAACTATTTTAAGCCTATATAAATCCACATAAAATGCAAAACAAAATTGGTAAATCTTTTTATTTTTAAAAATGATGTTTTATGTCAGAGGATGGTTTAACGTCAGAAAATCTATTAAGGTAAGTCACCAACAAACCAACCAGGAAAAACCATAACATGTGCACTAAAGGTATACTTGACAAGATTCCAGAGCCATTTCTAACTCAAACTCTTTAAAAACTGAAAATAGAGATACTTTTCTACATAAGTCAAAATAGCCAATTTAAAAGTAAAACACAATAGACATTGCCACTAACACCACAAAACAAGAAGAGCTACCATCAGCATCATCTAACATGATACCAAACACAAGCCAACCAAACATGCAATGAAAATTTAATAGAACTATTAGAAGAAATACCAGAAGATGATACCAATGAATTTCCAGGAAAACCCTGGAGAAATCACTAGAACCAACTGGATGCTGCATTCCTTTGCTTAGAACGTTCTCATAGGGTTCTGTCTTAATGAATACTCATCTCCAACACTAAGTGTTTGGATTTTAGCCGTCATTCTCCACAGACTATAACCCCCCAACACAGGAAGCAAGCCTATTTGACTCACTGTCCATCTCTAAGACTCTGGCACAGGGTATCTATTCAACAAAATACTGGTGTGGGTGTTTATCCCTCCTCTCTCCTTATAATCTCTAGTGTTTTGAAACCAGTCAAACTTTTTTGGTGACTCCAACACATCATCAGACCATTATGAGCTTAGAAGCAGCTAACATGGCATGAATCTTTTTATAGAAATTTTTATAAAACTAATTTCTCCACTTCCATTCATTTTTCAAATTCTGTACTTATGTAATTGACTTGTTAAACTAAGAAACTTGATGGCCTTGTTGAAAGACCTCTCAATTGCCTTCGTCAAGGAAGTGCTCACCAGAAAATAACAAGTCAAGAAAAATTAAATCTCTTAAGTTATAATCCATAAGCCACGTAAGTAGCCAGCACCGAAGAGGCCCTTCCTAAAGTGATACTCGAAATAAATCTGAGGTCTCCCTTGTCGATGCAAAGAGATGGCTGCTCTGTGCTGAAGCCACAGGAGCCGCTAGACACCGTCACCCCGCAGTCACCCCAGAGTGACTCATTACGCAACGGGGCGCACCGTGCCTGGGCTGCGGGCACTCTAAGCATCTGCAAACAAAAGGCTATGTTCGTAATTGTTATATTTTGTTTTTATTCAAGGGTTTACTCACAGGCAGTACACTTTAGAAGGAGGCCTTTTAAATTAAAGACCAAAGCTAAAAAAAAATCTTGCAAATATGACACTGGTGGAAAAATGATTATCTTAATAACTTAAACCTCACCTGTCCTTTGGAGTTAGATGTCATTAACAGAGGATGGCTATGATCAAGATCATTAAAATAAACAACCAAAAACCACAGACAGTGAGTCGACTTGTCACAAAGATAACCATCAGCATCAGGCGCGGGAGGAGGAAACCCAGCAGTTAATTTGCCCTGTGACAGAATGGAGACTACACTTCAGAATTTCGACTCTAAAGTCTCCTTCTCTAGCAGCAAATCAGCGTATCTCTGCTGAAGCTCCTTTTCTCTCTCCTGCTGTCTCTGCACATCTTCTTTTAGACACTAGAAGAGATAGAAATACTCAACCATTAGTTCATATGTAAGAGTACTGAAAATTACTGTATCTTCTTTGAAACAGCTGCGTTCATTCAGAATTCTTAACAGACAGATGTTCCCCAAAGAAAACAGAGCAAACACTCTTGCTGTGAAACCAGTCCTGTAATGCTCTGGTCATACATTACTTCCTTGTAAAACCTCTGCTGGCCACTTCAGACAAACAAGCCACTCCTGTCCTACCAATATCCATGGACCCCCTAAGTGCTGACCACCTGTAACCAGGCAGAGGCTCAGACACAAACTTGGGAAAGAAATTTAACAAACCTAGCCAAAGGAGTCTGATGTTCTAGAGTGACCAGCTAGGTTCCTGCACCTTAAGTTATCACACAGAAGGACACTCCTTTGGTTTCCCTTAAAAAGAGATGTGAATGGGATGAAATTAGGTTCCACGGGGACGAATGACAAGAGCTGCCAACCAGTGTAACTTGAAACAATATGAGAGTGGGTGCACGAGGGCCTGTCACTATCATCCGTCTACCCAGACACACAGGCAGCCTGGGTCAGAAAGTCACACATGATGCTCTCACTAGAAAAAGCCTGCCAGACCCACTGCTGAGACGGTCTGGGAGGGAGAAGGGGAAGGCCGTGCAAGGGTGCACAGCAAAACTCCACGTTACCTCCAGCCTCCGGGGAATGGCAGAATCTTCATGTTTCTTGAGTTCTTCAAAAGTTCGCAGCTCCAAGTGCGCCTGCTCGATTTGGTCCCACAGGTCATTCAGCTGCTTCATGAGGCCCATGGCGCGGGACTGGTAGCCTCCAAGCAAAATTTTCATCTTTTTTTCCATCTTTGCCGCCCTCTTGGCTTCTGTTGTCATGTGACCCCTGTTTATCTGGAGAGGAGGTGACATCAACATCCGTGAAGAAAGCAGATTATTAAATACAAGGGGGCTAAGAAGGCATCTCTGGTCCATCTATGTACCTCAAAGCAAAACCAGAGCTCCTTTGTAGTGCAACTACGAAAACACAGCTTCTAAGCTGGGCTCCTAAGGAGGGTTTACCCTACACGCACTGGGTTTCTTACAAGTTAATCCCAAATAATCCATGTAACTTCACCCATGATTCAATGCCAAAGCAGGCTTGAAATTCATAACGGAGAAAAACTTTTGTCTACTTTCTGAAAATAACTTCTACTACCCTTCATCTGCAGACTTTGGATTGGCAGTAACACATCATCACCGTCTATATCTCAAAAATGCACTTTTATTTTCTACATCTGGCCCATTTTTAATAGATGAACAATATTCCATCCAATTAAAATACTACTGTTTAGACCAAACATAATCCTCTTAATCTAGCAAATTACTAGATCCTAAATCTGCCATAAAACCCATAACGGAAAGAGAAAATCTACATTACATTTGGTGACAATTTTTTTAAACACTGAGGAGTGGAAAGGTAACATGAAAGAGACATGCTGGTTTTCCTATTAAATATATACACTGAACACAGAGCAGCTGCCTTCTCAGATCACTCTAAAATGATAGGAAAAGCTGGGCATGGTAGTGCACGCCTGTAATCCCAGCATTGATCCAGGAGGACCTTTGGGAGTTTGAGAACAGCCTGGGCTACAAAGCGGGCTCAAGGCCAGCCTGAACTACATAGCGAGACTGTGTCTCCAAATGATCAGAAAAAAAAAAAAAAAAAAAGGTAAGAAAAGAATTTTAAAATGTATAAATTCTCTAAAGGACAAGAGAAAAAATTAACATAAGAACAATTTCACCAAATTCTGGGGCATGTGAACTCCTGCGGCAGGACAGAGAAAGCCCCGCTCGAAAGGCTGGAGGGCAGCTGAGTCCCTGGGTTGAGCTCTACATTCCCACAACATAGCCACTTCCCATTTTAAAGTGATCTGCAAAAGCTTGTTCTCAACACGTCACTCAGGATCACAGGGCCAATGCCTTAGGAATAATTACTAACTCTGCGTTTATTTCTCTGTATCTATGAGCACCTCCCCAAAAACTGATTCCTTCAAATGACTTCTACAAGCAACCACAATCAGGTAGGATAATGTATACCCAAATGGTACTCTGTAATCTATACCAATACAAAATAATGTATCTAAGAGCATTCTGTAACAAAGGAAACAGTGTAATAATGTAAATACTTTTTTTTTGGCACCACACTAAATGTAGGGTAGTAGTATATAAATAGAGAAATGGTAGCATGGAGAAAATCATCAAATACAAAATGATGACACAGCCGGGCGTGGTAGCACATGCCTGTAATCCCAGCACTCGGGATAATACTGAGGCAGGAGTATCATTGGGAGTTCAAGACCAGCCTGGGCTACCAGGTGAGCTCAAGGGCAGCCTAAACTGCATAGTGAGACCCTGTCTCAAAAAGACACACATACACACCAAAAAAAGATGAAAAACTATACCTAGGACATTTTGTTTATGTGTAGAAAAAATATAATCACCAAAACAAATATACAGCTTCCCCTAACTCTGAAATGTCCACTTTAACGTGTAACATCCAATTTCAAAACAGAGGTTCAACAACTATTGTTAGAACACATAAGAATGCAAAAAAAATTAAATGCCCATCAAAATGTAAAGTACAAAATACTTCTACTGGAAAAGGTGTATGTCATATGTATCCAGCTTAGTTTATTAAAAGTCGAAGTCACATAAGCTATGGGACAGTGGTACTGTATAAACAGTATGCACCTTGGCAAGATGAAATGGACCTAAAATTAAATAAAGCTCCTCTAAAACCATTTCTTGATCATTTTACAAAAGTTAAGTCTTTATTCTTCTGTAATTGATAGAATAAACCTATGTAAACTCTTAATGTCCCATAAATGGGCCATTTCCCACTACTAGATACCAAATCAAAGTCAGTTCCACGCATCACACATCCTCTAAGAGGGTGAGCAAACGCTGCGGCAGGCGGCTGCATGGTGCTGTCTCTTCTCCCTACCCCACACCCACACCCAACTTAACTATTATGAGCGGATGCAAGTTACTTAACCTCTGGGTCTCACTTTCTCCAACAGTAGTAAGACAGCACTTGCTGTTACAAGTTATTATGAAGCTGAAATTAGAGAACATATGTAAAAGCCCTGACACCCACAATCTGGCAAAGAATAACTGGTCAACAAATGTTAGCCTGAACTGTAACAATTACAGCATTTTACAGATACTATGAGTTCAACCGCTTTGCTCTCTGATGATGAGCACGAAGGATGAGATTTTAAAACCTTCTTTAAAGTCCAACTTTAATATAAGACTCTGTCGACCTCTCTTGGGAATAAAGCAAGGAAAAACAGCTGTTCCTTAGTATAAGCCTTTTGAGAACCAGCAGATCAAACAGCACACACTGGACCTCTGTCCTACAATGTAAAATTATCAGAACACAGACTGCCTCGGCACTCCTCGGCCCTACAGAAAGACTTCAAATTCAAATGAGGCAAAGTACCCAAGTACAGGGACCCAGCAATTTCTTCCCAAGGGGTACGCTCAAGAGAGGTAAAAAACACCCACATAAAACTTGTAACCAACATTTGTAACACTATTTCTAACAGCCAAAAGGTGGAAATACCCCAAACACCCATCAGCTAAAGTAGATAAAACAAAATGCTATTATCCATACAATGGAATATTCCTCAGCCATAAAAAAAGCAATTAAGTACTTACTAACACAAGGTGTGACATGCTGAACCTTGAAAGCATTAAGGCAAAGCAGCTCATCACAAAAGACAACACATTACATGATTCCTCATCTATGAAATGTCCCAAAAAAACAAAACTACAGGTACACACAGCAGATTAATGGTTGCCTAGAGCTGGACAGGCTGGGGGAACAGACAGTGACTGCCAACTGATCCAGGAGTTCTTTCCGGGGTGACGGAAATTCTACATTCTACAACTGCTTGCAGTGATAGCCCCAGAACTCCATGGATACGCTAAATCCACCAACTGAATACTAAATGGATGGGCTATGTCGTCACTTGTATCTCAATGAGATTATTGTGAAAACAAAGTATCCAAATGGTAGAAATATTACCTCCTGTGAGAAAAAAGAAACACTCCTCATGAACTGTTCTGGATACAAAATACAAGAATGTTTCCCCCCAAATCAAATAGGACTCTCCATGTCTAAGCTTTAGAAGGTGGTAGGGAAAAGGAGCTAGACTTCTTTAAAAGAGCAAAACTTCCACCCTCATCCATTTTATAGTGCAATCCAGTGAGAATATAACAATCTGCATTCACCCTCTCCCAGTTCAAATATTCCTGGAGCACATCTTTTAAACCAGTGCTCTTCAAGCTTGAGAATGCCTGTGGAGCTTTTAAAATCTACCGGTGCCAGGGGGCTAGCCTCTTGACTCTGGTTTAAATGGTTTCAGATTTTTTTTGTCTTTAAAACCCCCGAAGGTTCTAACAGGCAAGCAAGATGGAAAAATCTTGCCAGGCATTCACAGCAGGCAGATAACAGCTATTTTCTCAACTCTACACACCAGAAGGTCCTACTTCCCAACAATAAATGAACTAGTTCCATCAAGTTACATCCTATTCCTTTTTTCTTTTTTTTTTTTTTTTGAGACAGGGTCACATTATGTAGTTGAGACTGGCCTTGAACTCACTATGTGACCCAAACTGGCTTCGAATTCACAGCGATCCTCCTGCCTCAGCCTCCCAAGTGCTGGGATTACAGGCGTGCGCCACCATACCCAGTTTACATCCCATTCTTCATGTTATGATTCATCATGTTCTAAGAATATCCATGTTAAATATCCTACTCACATGCAAATTCAATACACAGCCAAGGATCTTCAGAGCACAGAACTTCAAATTAATAGTTTTTAAAACTACTCATAAATTAACAATTTCACCACTTGATAACTGAATTATCTTTATGGCACTCCACAGACATTTGATTTCCCATTTGGTGTAACAGCTAAATACTACTGTTCAAAGACACTCTTTAATTAGTCATCAAAGTACATTTCCTACTATTAAGACCCTGTGTCAGGAACTACCTCACCTCACACAGTTCAGTCATTTACTATCCCCAAACCACCAGAGATTTTCAAACTCCAAGGCTGTTTCAATTTGCTGCCAACAATTACACTTCATCTAGCTCGATCCTATTAAAAGTCTTCCGGCTCAACTATATTGTGCTAAGATTCCAAGCAAACATAGAAAGCAGTTTATATAAAAATAAATTTAATTACAGGAAAAAAATTAGTTCAGCTAAATAACTATAGAAAGTTAGTCGTAAGACATAAACGATAGCTTTCAACAGTATTCAATTTTAGTTATCTTAAGCCTGCCATCGATTATTAAAATGTGAAGAAAGGTGCTGGCATGCTTTGTAAAATGCTAGACCTAGGACTGCTCAATATACTTTTAATAAGTGGGGGAAGACGGCATAGTTTCTGATCTATTTCAAGCTAATAAATCTTAAGCATGAAATACACACGCATACACGGGACAGAGATGCCTTAAATCAGCCCCAAGACCCCACCAACAACACACTTGCACACACACACAGTTAAGTGCAGGAATATAAAACCTTATGGTATAAAATATGAAAAAAATTAGGCTCTGTTTAACCAGATTGGTATTTTTAAAGTCCTTAAAAACTAAATTAAAAAAAAACCTTTGGATACTAGCAATTGTTCTAAAGAACAATATTTGTTTAAAAAGATTATACCCTATCCTACAGCTCATTTACCAAAACTTCTCCCAAAAGAGTGCTTTTTAAACCAATATCTTAGATCTTATCAAAAATATTTTTAGGGGCTGGGGATTTAGCTCAGTGGCACAAGCGTCTGCCTGGCAAGCACAAGGTCCTGAGTTCAATTCCTGATACCAAAAAAAAAAAA